GGACAGAGAGCGCCAAAAGGTGTGAAAATTAAAGGGGAAATAACAAAAAAATGAAGGTGTGGAGCTAGCAAATTTACTAATTTAGTAAGGGCATTGAAAAAGGAAGGTATTTTGGAATACCTCTTTTTATTATGCTTCATTTTCTCTCTTTCTTCTTCTCTCTCACCAGCCCTCGAACCAAGGACATGTTGCTCGGGCGCTCTGACCCAAGCACACCTAACCAACAAGCCGAAACGAGGGCCGGTAAGGTAATGAGCTTCCTCAAATATACATTGCGGTCTTTCTTTTTTTTTTTAACCCCATTTTCCCGATGTTGCAAGATATTATGGAATCAAAATTCAGAAATTGCTCTAATTTTATGGAAATTAAGTTAAATGCTATTACAAATATTTAATGAATGGTTTTATTTTATGATCAATTTTTAAAATGATGTTTAAAAACAAAGTCATGATGGAAGGATGTGATCTTGGTTACTAATTACTACCTTTACTTATTTTATGAACATTATCTATGAGACTATCACCAATGATAATAACTTTATCAAACCACAAATGTAGCTTAATTGAGAAAAAAATGCTTTAAGCAAGTGTAAAAACTATTTGATTCAATCATTAAAAGAAAAATTGAGACATTGGACTTGTGATTCGTCTATGATAAAAAAATTGAAATTCAGTTTTGGTCCTTAGAAGTATTTACTGTTTGATTGCTTTCGGTGTTTTACAATATAATCATATTGTGAGAAATAATTGAATGTGATTGCAAATAATGTAAATAAATTCACCTATATCTTTTATGCAATTGAAATTCGTAATAAAGTAAAGAACGCAGGTAAACTATCTATCATTTTCTCTTGTTAGGATATATTTCTCAATTTTTTAAAATATGATAATAAATATAGTTTTTTTAAAGGTTACATGACAAGTGAAAATTGAAATAGAATTAAACAATTTATATTATTATTATTATTATATGTTATTACATTTAATATTAAATTAAATCAAATTTACATATATTAAGACATCAAAGTTTTAAAATTGTAAATTTAACTAACTAATAATTTATTAGAATATGAAGTGAAAATCAATTCTTCCTTGTCTCATATATTCAATAAGAAACCTATATCACAGCTCGAGAGTTCAAATTAGACAAACTAATTGCCAAACACGTCGGCAGGCCATGCACATGCCTATAACCCAATGTCATGGGCTTAGAGCTTTCGTTAAGATTTGTGTGATGTTTAGGGCTTGGGGATAAAAAGTCTAAGTAAGTCTAACTCAGAATATTGTGCAAAAATGCAAAATTAAAAACATAATAAACTTTGAAGAAAAGACTTTGGGAAAAATAATTAAGATTTTAAACAAATAACTTATGAATGCTATGCTTGAATTGCTTGAATTAAAGACCACTAGGACAATTGACTCTACTCTCCTTTTCCCCTAAACTTAAAAGTTCTATTTATAGTAGCTTATTCTTAATCCTGAAAAAACTCTACTTCTATTGTTTAATACAACTCGTGTAGATAACAAGAGATTAAAGTAAACAAATATTTTACAACTAGCCTAAAGTCCTAATGTAATGAAATAAATAGATGATTATACACAAGAATTCTATCCCAAACAAACTACCTTATTTGAGCAGTCTTCTTGAAGTTAGACTCTTAGTGCAATCTTCCCTGCACATAGCCTACAGTCTTGGGAGACTAGGTGGCATGGTGTGTTTGCAATCCATTGGTAGTCAATGGCCCCTCAACGGATATTAGCCCAAGGTCAATTTCTGACCCTGTAAGGTGTGCAACACATGCTTGTGCTGCTATCCCAACTAGTCTTGTGGGCTGTGCAGGTCATGATTTTAGGAATCGTGACATTCTCCCCAATTCGATCTAGGCAATGCCCTCGTTGCCTCGTAGCTTCCTTATGCCACAAATCTTCAAGAGGTTCCCCACGATAGTTATGGGTGTGATTGAGGCACCCTTTATTGGTTATCTATGAAACACCTCCAAGTCTAAATGTGTTTCACCGTGTGGATGTCTAGCTCACAACTAGCCTTCGACGTCCAAATACACAACTCCCAGGTGCATAGTGTTTCCATTTGTGGCACACATAAGCCACAAAAGGTTTAAGCTTGGTGTTTAGGTTGTCAATCCAATGCGAAAGCTTTGTTGGTCAAATTGCCTAGTCTAGAAGTTACAAGCTGTGGCTTTCTGGTACTTGTTAGCTACATGCACAGCCTTATATTCAAGACCTTTGACAACCTTTGTCAATTGCCATTATTGCCGCTATATTGCTGCCATCAATTCCTCTAGGCCTACATCATGGCGCATAAAATTACTAATTGTATTGTGCTATTCTATGCAAAGCTCATTACTAGTAGACTCTAGCTTATCAATATTGTCCTTGACGTATTCGAAGTTGCTCCACACCTTGTGGTTGTGGTTGATAATTGTCTCAATCTTACAATGACTTCAATTCAAAATAAATTTCTCTTTGTCTTGTAGCTTTTAAGGTTTGGGGAAACTTACCCAAAATTCTAATTTATTGAAAATTGGGGGCTTCACTATATTTTGGATTCCTCACAATTTGTCAACCTTAACTTACCTTTTGGATGCGCAATAAGCTTGAAATTTTCCTGGGATAATGGGAATCTTGTTTTTACCTAGCTTTGGAAGGTGTTGTTTTAATAAAGAATGTTAAAATACAACAGGGTTTTGACTATACTACTCACTTTTGGGAAGTGTTACTTTGATACCAATTGTCACGAGCCTAGAGCTTTAATTAAGATCCATGCGGCGCTTAAGTTTTAGGGATAATAAGCCTAAGCAAGCCTAACTCAAAATATTACGTAAAGATGCAAAAGCAAAAACACAATAAACTTTGAAAAAAAAACTTTAGGAAAAAATAATTATATTATTCCCAAGAGAAAACAGATATATAAGATTTTAAGCAAATAAACTATGGAAGCTAGAATGCTTGAAATGCTTGAAGTAAAGACTGCTAGGGTAATTGACCCTAATTCTCTTTTTTCTCTAAACTTAATAATTCTCTTCTTTTCTAAACCTAAGGGTGTTCTTTATAATAACTTATTCACTATCCCAAAGAAACTCTACTTCTATTGTTTAGTCCATTTAGAGTAGATAACAAGAGATTAAAAATAAATAAATATTTTATGATTAGTTTAAAGTCTTAGCGTAAATAAAATAAATAGATGCTTATACACAAAAATTTTATCCCAAATAAACTATCCTATTTGAGCAATCTTCTTGAAGTTGGGCTCTTTGTGCAATTTTCCCTGCACTTGGCTTGCAATCTGGAGAGATTGGGTGGCGTGGTTTGTCTGTAGCCCATTGGTTGTCGATGGACCCTTCAATGGATTTGGCCCACGGTCGATTTCTACCTTCGGAGGTATGCGGCACTTATTTGTGTTGATGTTCTGACTAGTCTCGCGGGCACCAAGGACACTAGGTAGGTCCACAACCCAAGTAAACTAGTACAACAAATATGGCAGCAACTTAGATAGGAGGCCTAGCTCGTGTACTAGAGATAGAAGTGTCCACGCATAAAAGAATTTTGTTTGATTTGAAGTTTTTATTAATTTGGCATAATTTTAAATTTGAGAAGCACAATGCCCAAGTAAAATGTGGGTTCTTAAGCACTAAAGGAAGTAATTGTAACTAAAATAAATTTCTTATCGTAGTAATTTTGATAAAAGATTTTATCCCAATAATTGTAAGAGCACAATGATAATCCTTTTTTTCCTTTTTTAAATAATTTTTTTCACAGTAATGATCTTTTATGTGTATATATATGTAAATATGGAAGTAAAAGAAGGAAATATAGTGCTATGTTTAAGAGCAAATCAAAACGCTCTCTTCGGTTTCTATATAAATATATATAATTTTCCTTTAGTATGTATCATACTTGTTAGCAATCAAAAAAATTGAAAAACTTCGATAGAAGTAAAATAGAAATTAAGTTTTTGGAAGCAAATAATTAATATGGGTATCATGATATGAAGGCAAGGTATCTTTTTTTTGAAAAAAAATAATTAAATAATTAATATCTATAAAAGTTGAAAAAAAAATACCACGTAGGGCAAATAAATGATCCAGAAGGTAATTTTTTTTACTTGGTGTAAAAGACTCAACGTTGTCTAACATTCCTGATTTTAATTAAATAATAAAGAAAAAGATTCATTTCTAAATTTGATCTACACCCTTTTTATACCATTTGGAAAAATTATAATGATATTTAACAAATGCCAAAAATGAATTTACCTCGTTTGTAAAAAGCCACGAACCCTTATGTCTATAACATTTATTTTAACACCCAATATATTTATAAAATGTATAAAAATTTAATAATTTTTGGAACAGCGTGTATGTTATCAACGATTAATTTTAAATAATAATAAATTCAGTTTTTTTTTTAAGATTACATAACAAGTGAAAATAATAATATGATTGAACAGTTCTATATATATACATCACATGTTATTATATTTAGCATAAAAAAATTAGCATAAAATTAGATAAAATTAAATAGAAGATTAGACTAAATTTTCATAAACTTGAACTTCAAGTGAGAATATAATGACTGCAAATTTAAATAACCAATAACCAATCGTTAAATTACAGAATATTCATGAATTGGAATGAAGAAAAGAAATTAACATCCCTGCTGGCCTATTGTAATACACATGATATAAATGGCAAAAAATCTTGTCCCCTCTAAATATATAGTAAACATTTGGCAAGACTCGAAAATAGCCATAGGTATTGCATGGGTCAGCACTGACATGCCCTTCACTTTAGTTTCCAGTATTAATACAAATTAATGCTTTCCTTAATATGCATAATTGTGATGAATATGACAAATCATTTCCCATATTAATAGGTATGTTGCCAAAACTGAACAAAGCGATTGGAGTGAACCAATTGCTTAGTGTTGGCTATAAAATCAATATAACTACAAGTTTAATTTATAGAATTCCTCAATCTCCTCATCTTCTCACTCAGTCTCAAGTATGAATCAACTCATTGTGTTTTTTATTTTATTTTATTTGGGGAATTTAAATACTGATATTTATTTTTGATTCATATACTTGGATTTGTGAGTGTTTTTTGGTTTTTCTTTTTTTTCAGATCGATGTGATTGATTTTATTTTATTGAAGTGGTTGCAGGATCAAAGTACAAAACAATGGAGCTTGGCAAGAAACGGAGTCTGCTGCTGTTGATGCTTTTTGCAGGTTTGATTTTAACTAGAAGGCAATATTGTCTCCAAAAATGAATTTAGTTTAAATGACGGGATTAATTAATATTCTTTTCAAAAGGGTTAATTTTAATTGAATCCCATTAATCATTGTCCTACTAGTGCTAAGTAAAGGTGCTCTGATTATTATAAAAAAGATAAAATAAAACAAAATGAAAAAAAATCACTGCTTTGCGATATATATACTCGAAGCATGCATGCATGCGTTCATTATTATTATTCTGTCAAACAAAAAGGACAAATAATTAACAGATGACAAACATTTTGCAGGACTAATGAAAGCCAAGGCATTGTCCTATGATTATACAGCCAGCATTGAGGTAAGATTTTCCCTACAATTCATTCTGGAAATATAATTAATTAAACCTCCTGTTTCATGCCCATAAAGTACGGAAAAAATGCTAAATATTATCTATCAAACTTCAGTGTTTAGCAGAACCTCACAAACCTCAGTACGGCGGAGGAATAATTAAAAACCCAGAGTTGAATGGTGGCTTGATGGGATGGTCTACATTTGGGAATGCGACAATGGAACACAGGGAATTAAATGGCAACAAATTCCTCGTGGCTCGTACCAGAAACCAATTCTTCGACAGTGTCTCCCAGAAGCTTTACTTGGAAAAGAACAAGCTCTATACCTTCTCCGGTATTGCCTTGTTTAAGACATTTCTCTGATGTATATATACTACTTAATATGATTAATTAGATTCTACAAGTTTAATTTTGATCTAGAATGACATAAATTTTCTATGATCTTTGCGTTCATGAAGCTTGGGTACAAGTCAGTGACGGGAATGCTGCAGTGAGGGCAGTATTCAAAACAGTAACTGGGTTCAAGCATGCCGGTGCAATTGTTGCCGAGTCCAAGTGTTGGTCCATGCTCAAGGGTGGCCTCACAGTGGATGCGTCGGGCCCTGCTCAGCTTTACTTTGAAGTAATAATTTCCTCTTGTTTTTGCTGAAGGTTTCCTTTTATTATCAGCATCAGTTTGTTCTAAATACTTAAAAAGTTGCTACTTCTTTCAGAGCCATAACACCTCGGTTGAGATATGGGTTGATAGCGTCTCGTTGCAGCCATTCACCCAAGACGAGTGGAAGTCTCACCAGTTTGAAAGCTTGGAGAAGGTCAGTACATATAATTTAATGACACTGTCTAGGAAACTCTGCAAAACACAAACACATTAAAAGTTTATTCAAAGAAAATTATTTAAAAAAATCCAACTAAATGTTAAGGAGGGTGAGACCTTAGATATTAGTTTGCAGGTACAAACTCCAGAAGAAAAGACATTAGTGCATATTTGAAAGGAATAACTCATAATCAAGCTATAATTTTGCAGACAAAGAGAAGAGTCAGAATCCACGCAATGGATGCACAAGGGAACCCCCTAGCAAACTCGAAGATTACCATCCAGCAAAAGGCATCAGGAAAGCCAGTTGGTTGCGCTACTAACAAGAACATCCTCGACAACACAGCCTACCAGAACTGGTTCACTTCGAGGTTTACACATACAAGCTTTGAGGATGAAATGAAGTGGTACAGCACTGAACCAACCCAAGGCAAGGAGGACTATTCGGTCGCAGATTCCATGATGCAATTAATGAAACAACACAACATCTTGGTCCGGGGCCACAATATTTTCTGGGACGATCCTTCCTTCCAACCGAGCTGGGTTCCGTCCCTCCAACCCAAAGACCTTGCCGACGCAGCCAATAAAAGGATTAATTCAATAATGTCAAAATACAAGGGTCAAGTAATCGCCTGGGATGTTGTTAATGAGAATTTGCATTTTAATTTCTTCGAAAGTAAGCTCGGGCAAGATGCTTCTAGCACCTTCTACAAAATGGCTAATGATATTGATCCAGCGATAACTTTGTTTATGAACGAGTTCAATACCATAGAGGAGAGCGGAGATTCAGCATCGACACCGGCTAAGTACCTTGACAAATTGAAAAGTGCCCAAGCTACGCTCGGTGCCAATGGTAACCAGATGGCTATTGGGCTTGAGTCCCATTTCAGCGTTCCAAACCTCCCTTACATAAGATCTTCTCTTGATACTCTCGCTGCCACAAAGTTACCCATTTGGCTAACAGAAGTGGATGTAAAGAGCGATCCCAATCAGGTAATATTTCCTCCTAATCAGTTAACAACATGATTAATATTCAATTATAAATATTTTTGTTGGATGGTTTTTAAATACTTGAGCAGGCAATGTTCCTAGAGCAAGTTCTGAGGGAGGGACATGACCACCCTGGTGTTGCTGGCATAATAATTTGGTCTGCCTGGAAGGCAGAGGGATGTTACCGGATGTGCTTGACTGACAATAATTTCCAGAACTTGGCAACCGGTGACGTTGTTGACAAGCTGTTGAAAGAATGGGGAATCAAGACCACCTTAGAAGGCAACACCGATGCCGACGGTTTCTTTGAGGCCTCTCTTTTCCATGGAGAATATGAAGTGAAAATCACTCACCCGGCTGCAATCGATTCTTCCCAGTCTCGGAGATTCAAGGTGGAACCTACACATGCCTCTGAGGAAAACGCAATGCTTCTCCAACTTATCACATGACTCCTTGTCATTATTGTTCCCTATACAGTCACCATTAAACTGCTCTTGTTTATGACATAGAACAATAAAAGCAGATTCAATTTGTTACCTTCGATTATTTTCTTGCTATAAAAGTTTCAAACAATGACTATTTCCCATTTTCTTTAGCCGCAAATTTTCTTTCTTCCTACACATTCTTATGCCACCGTAACTTGCTCACAAGATATAAAATAAAAACCTTTAATTGGGTAAAAATCGTTCACATAATTAGTTGACTAGCACTCTTTCTTCCTTTAATTAACACAAACATGTGAAGTCAAGCAGCTTGACTAACATTTCTGATTCCAAGTAATAAAGAAAAAGATTCATTCCTAAATTTGATCTACACCTTTTTTATACCATTTGGAAAAATTGTAAAGATATTTAATTAATACTTAATTTACCTCGCTAGCAAAAAGCCACAAACCCTACTTCATATCTCTCTTTGAGCGGCTTTGCAGTCTCCTTCTCAGAAAATTTTCAAGGTGACTTTCATTCATTTTGTCTATTATATATATATATTATTATTTCTTATTTTATTTGCAATTTTAAAAGATCATTTTATATTATTATGGTGTCTTCGTCGCCCCTCCCCTTTTTTTGTTGGAAAAATGAGGAATGTATTAATTAATTCATATGAAGATAAAATTATATAAAGTTGATCATCCATGTTATAAGTTTTTTCAGTTGTCCTCAACTTACTAAATTCTAAATTTGCTGTAAAATTGATATGTTGATTCCAACGATTAGCTTTAACTTTTTCATAAGTGTGTTTATATTTATATATTTTTGTCATTTTACTAATATTTTTTTACATATCAATAAAAGAAATTATGGGCTTTGAATGACTTATATTATTAAAAAAATTAACAAACAAATGGTCCTATATATAGTTAAGCCCATGGTCCATGTTTGAGTTTACATTAGTTAACTTGATAGGGTTATGGAAATGCAATAATCTATATCTACCATACCATATTAGTTACACATTTCCTTCAATTTGTCATCAATTGCACATGTTTATAACCTCAGGGGTTGGAATACCTTAGCAGAAAGAAAGAAAGAAACTATTTCAAATCAAATAATTGAAGCTTGGTAAGGTCAGCTAGGTGTGGGACATTAAGAACTTTTCTTTGAAGGAAAATATAGAGGAAGATCGTCATCTATCTCTTCAGCATCTCTTAGACATTATTAACATTCCCATTACCATAGCTTATTAGTTCGTAAAATCTCCAACTTTAATCTTCATCTGTAGGTGCGGAGGAGGACAGATTGCAGGTTTACCGATTCCTTGTTAAAAAGATAATAGTAAATTTTGTTCTTATACTGTATATATGAATTTTATGAGTATCCACATCAATTATTTCCAAGAAAGATGTCAGTATATATTAGTTAGATTCTATCGCAAAATTAATTAGTGATCCAAAATGGGGACACTTCACATATCTGATCCCTATTTATTATTACAGGTTAAAGTTGTCTGGACATTTACTTGTAATTTCATTTGTTTGACTTGATTATATACCACATTTAATATCATGCCAAAAAGCATACCCCTCTTCCTGCTTGAATACAAATGTTTAATTAATAGCTTAAACTCATGACATGAACCTTTTGCTTTTCCATAAGAGTGACTTATAAAACTCATGACTAGGTTCTAGCTAGCTTTTGCTTATCATTTCTTTCTTGTTTGCCCACTGCATGAAATTTAAGGTTGAGACTGTCAAGCTAGAGCTCTCATACAATTAAACATTGATGAAGATTGAGCTGGAAAACAATTTGATTATTTTTCTGGTCTTATGTACTCTCCACTTTTCAGGTTTGTTTCCTATAATTTTTACACCTTTTTTCTTGTTTATCCTGTCGTTTTCTTCTTGTGGTTAAGTTTGTTATTTGTACATTGCAGTTTTGACAATTTGATCTATAATTGGTAACTGAGTTGGCGGTGCATGTCACATTCCAGAATGGGAATTTAACTTTAAATCCTGTCTATCAACTTTATTACAAAAAGAGGGTCAAAAAGAAGTTAATTGTTCCCACAATGACGCTAATGCTTTTATTTGCCGAGCACAAAGCAAGATTTTTCCTCTCGATTTTAGTTCTTACATTCATTTGCTAACTAATTAGCTGTCTTTCATACCTCTAATTCACTGTCATATTAATTAGACTTCGATCAATGATAGCTACAGTGCTGGTGTAAGTAATGGAGAAAATTTCAAAGTTTCATATTGAATAGTAAAAGAAAATCATTTGTTTTACAGGGTTTGAAGCTAATGCCTTATCTTATGATTACACAGCAAGCATTGAGGTAAGCTAGAATGTAAACCGAATTCTTTTGATAGCACCAAATACATACAAAATGATTACTGATTAAATTTATTTTGCCCATTTTCCTACCCCAGTGTTTAGAAAATCCTCACAAACCTCTGTACAGTGGAGGAATCATCTTGAATCCAGAGTTGAATGTTGGCCTGAAAGGATGGCATGCATTCGGAGATGCAAAACTGGAACATAGAGAGCTTGCTGGCAACAAATTCGTTGTGGCTCGTGGCAGGAATCAGCCAAGTGATAGTGTCTCACAGAAGCTTTATTTGCAAAAAGAGATGCTGTACTCTTTCTCTGGTACACAACCCCATGTTTGCATATATCGTATAGTATGACAGTGTGCTATAAACCCCAAACTTCCTTCTTTCACAGAAGCTTATAAATGCTGTTTATATTTCTCATAGTAGTGCTGTCCGGTTCATTGAAACTGCTATATTGAATGGAGTTTCAGTAAGAAGTGAATCTTGTCAAGACATACAACAATGTTTTATATATGCAGGCAAAGGTGTTGAATAATACTAATGTAAACTTAAATATATATATCAGCTTGGATACAAGTAAGCGAAGGAAATGCTCCTGTAGCAGCGGTTTTCAAAGCAGCAACAGGATTCAAACATGCTGGCGCAGTTGTTGCTGAATCTAACTGCTGGTCTATGCTAAAGGGTGGCTTCACTCCAGATGCCTCGGGCCCAGCCGAACTTTACTTTGAGGTACTAGTATTTTTCTTAGGCTCTCTTTAATATATTCTGATGTCCAAATCTTTTATTGCCCATGATAAAGAATATATATCATAATTTTTTACTTTAAAAAAAATTAAGTTCTCATTTATTAGTTTAATCTCATAAGAGATTTTAATCTGTTTAGAGCAAGAACAGATCAGTTGAAATTTGGGTTGATAGCATCTCACTCCAACCATTCACCCAAGAAGAGTGGAAATCTCACCAAGATCGAAGTATTAGAAAGGTAAAATTCCCTTAATTTTCCGTATTGTAGTTTGAATTGTCCGAACTATGAGTAACAAACATTAACATGGACAGATTCGTAAAGCAAATGTGAGAATCCAAGCAGTTGATAAACAAGGCAATCCCCTGCAGAATGCTACAATTTCCATTGAACAGAAGAAACCAGGATTTCCAGTCGGTTGTGCTATAAACAAAAATATCCTGACAAACACCGCCTACCAGAATTGGTTTACCTCCAGGTTCAAAGTCACAACATTTGAAGACGAAATGAAGTGGTACAGCACCGAAGTGTCCCGAGGCCATGAGGACTACTCACCCGCCGATGCCTTGCTTAACTTTGCCAACAAACATAACATCGCGGTTCGAGGCCACAACGTCATCTGGGACGATCCCAAGTTCCAACCGGGCTGGATTTACTCACTTTCTCCAACAGCTCTGTCTATGGCTGTCGATAAAAGGATAAACTCCGTAATGTCAAGATACAAGGGCCAGCTTATTGCATGGGATGTTGTTAATGAAAACCTACATTTTTCATTTTTTGAAAGTAAGTTAGGGAAGCAGGCTTCCGCAAAATTTTATAGGTTGGCTCACATGGCTGATGGGACGGTCCCTTTATTTTTGAATGATTACAATACCATAGAGGACAGCAGAGATGGGAAAGCCGCAGCAGCTAAGTATCTTCAAAAGCTGAGAGAAATTAAAGCTTTTCCTGGCAACAGAAATTCGCGGATGGGGATTGGGCTTGAGGCCCATTTTTATACTCCAAACCTTCCTTACATGAGAGCTTCCATTGATACTCTTGCTGCCACTGGATTGCCCATTTGGCTTACAGAACTTGATGTTCAAAGCAGCCCCAATCAGGTAATCAATAGGTTCGATATCTGAATTCATAACCTGTTTTTAGATGAAATTTTCTTCAAAAATGAATGAAACTTTTGAACATAATATATATGTTCCCTTAGATGTTAACCAACTGATATACTATTTGGAGCAGGCCAAGTATTTGGAGCAGGTTTTGAGGGAAGCACATTCTCACCCCAAGGTGGATGGCATTGTACTGTGGGCAGCATGGAAACCACAAGGGTGTTACAAGATGTGTTTAACTGATAACAGTTTCAAGAACTTGCCCACTGGGGATGTTGTGGACAAACTGTTGCAGCAATGGGGTTCTAAGGCCCTGCTGGGATTCACAGACTCTGACGGTTTCTTTGAGGCCTCCCTCTTTCACGGAGACTATGAAGTCAACGTCACACATCCTTCTTCTTTGGCTCACAGCTTCATGGTCGTTTCAACTAATGCATCCCTGCAATCGCCACTGATATTTCAAGTTTCTGTACGAGCAAATTTAGACAATATTACTAAATTCGAGGATTTAAATAATAATAATAATAATTAAATAAGAAATAAATTTCAAATGACGAGCCAGGCTTAACCGAGCTCACCAAACTCAACCATTCGTGTGGACACCTCTAGATTCTCCTGTGTACGAGCATATGTGGCATTGTAAACTGTCGGCAAGACCTAACATGCCATCCTGGTTATATACTTGTCAGCAAATTAATTGTTGTTGATTTCTTATGGTAAGGTCGTCAATCTGCCTGTCCTTTCTTTAAATTCTCAAAGCATTAAACTTTCTAAACAAAAGAAATATTTACTTTCCTTAAATATTACTCTTACTAAATTTAGTAGTCACTACAACAGCAGGCTTAGCACGCTTTAGATTAAATCCCTATCCTTCCTTCCTTCCTACCCACTGTTTTCTCTTTCATTCTTTCAATCTTCATTTGCCCTTTATAGCTTGTAAAAAGAACATATTTCTACACGTTGAAATTTCTTTAGAGTCTGTGGATTTGAAATGATTATTTGTGAGATTTATGATGTCTATTTTTGAATTCCATAGAATGAATAGAGACATTCTATTTTTCTCTGATTCATTATTCCTTTTGCCTCTTTTCTTTTAATTTTGAGAAGCTCCAATTAAATATCTGATCTACTATTTTCTTTTGTAATTTCTGTTCTTCATAAAATATTTGTATTATAAACAAAATTAATGATTTTACAAATTCCAATCAATAAAAATTATTATAAAATTTTTACCTTTACATCATATTCACTTTTTATTCAATTAATTGAAATAGTTTTCAATTACAATTATAGTTATGTCCATTTCTCGTGATCATGTTAATGTATTGAGACCTTATCATTAAACAATTAGAATTTCTATTATGTATAATTCACCGAGTTCATGCAAGGGATGATAGTTTTGCCTTTTTCTTATCCACGTTTTAAGCCTATAATGTATCTCACAGAAAAGAGGCGCTAGACCTAAATATTTTATGGGTTGGTTTGGTTGCTTTAAATTATTAGGAAATTCCAAAATATTCTCAATTGAGTGAAGAGTTAATTAGAAACGATTCAACTTTCGATCAAATGCTACATAATTAAAATACATATGTATATACGTATTTAATCATATTAATATCATGATATATAATTCCACTGGTAATAAATTTCATGTGTTCAGCCTTTATTCGAACCTATTTCACATGATCTGCATCGGGTTCTTGCCTATTCCTGATTTGGACGACATTTAAACCAACTGTTAAACTTAATTGCCCCCACAATTCAGTTCATTATGATCTTTTAATTATCTTTCTTATAATAAATGGAGATCATTTTCAGCACATTCATACATACATACACACATAAATGATATATAAATATAACTCCAGGAATGCTTCACGGCACAAGCATGTTAGCAATTTTGCTCTTTTTTAAGTGATTATGTCCGTTACTATATTCTATGAGATGAGTGGTTTTATATTCGCTGCCTTGTTTCTTGGGCTCTAGCCTTGTTTCTTTTCCTTTTAAAGTTTTAAATTGTTTCATAAACAGCACCAGTACAACTAGTTTTAACTTGCATTCTTCGTATTTTATTACATCAGGATAAGTTGGTGAAAAGATGAAGATCGCAGAGGCTTGCGTCTTATTTCTTTCATGCGTTTTCCTGGTTTCAGGTTTCTCTCCCTTTCTCTAAAAACAGTGAAATCATAATTTTGGACACGCAAAGATAGTTTGCGGCCCCTGTGGCAGCCTGTCTTTTTCATTATTTTAAGGATGTCTTAGCCAGTTTTTATTGTTGCGTCACTAATGATCTATCTGCTCTCAACTGGTTATGCAGGACATGGCAGTATCCTCGCTTTCTCCTATGACTACTCAGCAACAACAAAGGCAAGAGAATCTTCTAGCTATATTGCTTCTTAATTTCCCGGTCTAAGTACCAAAACTGCATTGCTTCTTTCTGAAAAAGAATACTTCCTACTTCCATTGAAACATTAATGGATTTCAAACTTCTTTGAAAAAAAAATGGCCCCAATGTCAAGCAAGACATTCCTGTTAACTCATCAAAAGTTCTGCATCTCAAAAATTTTCTTCCCTGCAACTGCAATGAGGTATAATCTGGCTTATAATTGAAAGAAGAGGTTGTAACGGTTGGCATTTGGCAGTCCTCCATCGAAGGAAAGTTACATAAGTGTTATAAATTTCACTGAGTGGGTGAAATTTAATGTGCATACGTTATTATTATTTCTAACTCTTCTCAACTCATAAATGTATCAAGCAGTGTTTGGCAGCGCCAAAGAGGGCTCAATATGGTGGAGGGATAATAGTTAATCCGCAGTTCAATCAAGGGACAAAGGGATGGAACTTTTCCGGTGAAGGAGCGATCAGGGAGGGAGTATCAGAGGATGGCAACAGGTTTATTGTAGTACATAATAGAACAGACCCCTTAGACAGTTTCTCTCAGACAGTTCAGCTTGAGAAAGGAAATTTTTACACCTTTTCAGGTAAATCCCGGTCAAGTTTGGCTGAACTCCAATTGCTTATCTATTCAGAAGATGTCTAATGATAAAACGATGACATACTCCAAACTAAAACCCTCAAAAATGAAAAAAAAAGAAGCTGTTTTTAATTGTGTAATTGATTGGTTCTCCTCTCGAGATTTAATTGATTGACTGAGTGATAAATATTCAGCTTGGATCCAAATTAGCAAAGGGAGCGAGACAGTAGCTGTTGTGTTCAAGACTTCTGATGGTAAACTGATACGTGGAGGTGAAACCATAGCTAAACAAGGGTGCTGGTCGCTTTTAAAAGGTGGCATAGTTGCCCAATTCTCAAGCCCTGTAGAGATTCTCCTTGAGGTGAAGTAGATACTTGTTTTGGTTCTTTCATCTGCCTTTTGGGTATGCACTCGCACGTCAAAGACTGTATTCTTTGGAAACCAATGGATTCATGTTTGTTTTCATCAATGCAGAGCAAAAATACAAGTGTGGAAATATGGGTTGATAATATCTCGTTGCAACCATTCACAGCAAAGCAGTGGAGGTCCCACCAAGAGAAAAGCATTGAAAAGGTAACTGAAAGTAAAGCAGAAGAGCCTTGCCATTTGTATAGATTATGCCTGAAATGTAAGAAGTTCCAAATGTTTTGTCTAAATTGGATATAGACTCTTGAAATCTTTCCTGCCCCACGGTTGTGAATTTGATTCCTGCAGGTCCGTAAGAGCAAGGTGACATTCCAGGTAACATTTGCCAATAGAACTGCAGCAGCAGGAGCTATAATCTCAACAGAGCAAACCATGTCAGGCTACCCATTTGGATGCGGTATGAACCACCAAATTCTCACAAGCACAGGTTATCAGGAATGGTTTGCCTCGAGGTTCAAGCTTACCAGTTTCACCAACGAGATGAAGTGGTATAGCACTGAAAAAAAGCAAGGTGAAGAAAACTATACCATCGCAGATGCAATGGTAAAATTTGCCAAACAGAATGGAATTTCTATTAGAGGTCATAATATTCTCTGGGACAATCCCAAAATGCAGCCTGACTGGGTTATAGACCTTCCTCCAGAGGAGCTGCAAAAAGCAGCGACACGAAGGCTGAATTCAGTGATGTCAAGATATGCAGGACAATTAATTGGGTGGGATGTAGTGAATGAGAATCTGCATTTCCGCTTCTTTGAGGATAAACTTGGTGAAAATGCCTCTTCAGCCTTCTACTCGATGGCTTACCATCTTGAACCAAATACAACCCTTTTCATGAATGAGTATAATACAATCGAATACAGTAAGGATCAGGCCCCTACTGCATCAAAATACAAGAAGAAACTTGAGGAGATTCTGTCGTTTCCAGGAAACGCAGACATAAAGGCAGCAATAGGATTGGAAGGCCATTTTAGTTCTGCCCAGCCCAACATTGCTTACATGAGATCTTCCTTGGACATTCTAAGAACAATGGGATTGCCTATATGGCTTACAGAAGTGGATGTGGGTAAAGGACCAAATCAGGTACTACATTCCTTCAAGGAATTAAGACAAAAAACAAGCACAAACATGCACTAATTATCTTAAGTAGTAACTTGGAATTCTGTTTTTTATTACCAATTTTGAACAGAGTTGATACCTGGTATTTGTTCCTGGCAGGCACAATACTTGGAAGATATACTAAGGGAGGCTTTTTCACATCCTGCAGTTGAAGGAATGATCATTTTTGGAGGACCAGAAATTTCCGGATTCGATGTTATGACCCTGGCAGATACAGAGTTCGCTGCAACCCTACGGAGAGGCTGTGGACAAGCTGATTGATGAGTGGAAATCTGGGACTAGAAAACTTAAAGCAGATAGTAGAGGACTGGCTCAAGTTTCACTGTTTCACGGAGATTACAAGGTAGAAATTTACCATCCCGTGACTAACTCCTCAACTACTATCAGTTTTAAAGTTACAAAAGAAACAGAACACAGTACTGTCTTCGCTCAAATCAATGCTTGAGTTTGTTACAAGGTCATCTTACGCTTGGCAATAAAGTCAATTTTGTTTCTCACAAGATCTGTTACAAAATTTTACGACATTGGCATGCAAAACAATCTTCAAATTTCAAGATCAAAAGATTTCATGGATATCTTACTTGTACCTTGAGGCCTGGCATGTAAACATGCAGCTAAATTTCATGGATGATAATTTCACAAATGAAAAGAAAAAGGACTCCTCATATCATCTGTCACTTGCAACGGAAATTGTTATTTGCAACGAAAAGATAAAGCTATGATTCATTGGTTTGGAAAGAAAGAAAAAAACATTGGAAACCATGTATTATATATTACAACGACGAAGCTCAGTCACAAGCTGAAAAAATTCAAGAGCAGTAGCCGCTTTCGAGCCCTTTGATTCAACTTCTCATAGCTATAAAACATGACACGGCGGCCACAACAAGCGTGATTGCAAAAGAACTCGCGTCATCGAAAATGGCAGCGAACCGCATTTCCTGCAAATCCCAGAGTAGAAACCATGAAACGCACCCCATCAATAATCAGGAACACGATAGCCATCCTCTGCCGATGCCCAAAGCCCTTCACATCAAAACATCGTACGTGGCTGTATACCCCTTCCTTCCACAAATTAATTCTAAGTAGGAGACTGGGGTAGTGCTATCTATGCGCTTAGTTGAGTCACCAATTTTCAAGGAAATTGCTAAAAAACAATAAAGATAAAATCCACAAGCAAACAAAAAAAAAATTATACGATTTAATCTCTTAATTATTCATTTAATGAAAAAGACTTATCAATTTTTTAAGGCCTTTAAAGACTCATTTTTATAATATAAAAATTTAAAATAATATAAAATTAAGATTTAATATAAAAAAATTTAAAATTATACAACTACTCAATGTTATATATAAATTAAAATTCTAATTAAATAAAATTTTGTATACAATATTGATTTTGAGAAATATAATGGATTGAAAATTTCAGTGTTAAAAACAGCCATGATCGGTTTCTCCAATTTTGTAAATCCATGCTGCTTCGAGGATGGTTCCTTTGGATCCGTACGGTGGTTCACACTCTTTGTCGTGACCAATGCCTTTGCGGTGGTTCACACCCATTGGAAGAAATTAAAAAAAAAATGCTTGGAAATATAATACAAACAGGTAGTACTAATACACAAATCAATATTCATTATTAGGAAGAGCTTCTATTCACTATTCATTATTTTCCTTTTTTGAAATTGATTATTAATTTTTTTTATAATTAAAATAGAGAAAATTTAAATCTTATTTTTTAAATAAAAAATCATATATCAATCAATAAATTAAATATTTCAATATAAATTGATTATCAATGTTTAAGCATTGAAACATTAATATTAAAAAAATACAAAAAAGAGTATCATTGGCTAATACATATATAATAACGTAGCTTTTCAGGAGTTGCAAAAGGCTTAGAGCTGTGTTTGTCAGATTGTCACTATGGCTTCTGAAATGGAATAGGGAAGCTTACCACTAATTCCAAATTGTTCTATGTTTTCAAGTATCGTAATCACATGAAGTTATACTTGGCCTGCTTTGATTTGTCAATTTTTACTTTAAATAAACAAAATGCTCTCAAAGCTGACAGCTGGCCAAACTTTTTTTTATAGTTCTTTTTAGTCTATGGTTTTTTGTCTTATTCTCTTTATGAACTTAGTACAAATACTCTTGCACTTTAATTCAAACTCTACAGACTAAATTGACCAAATATTAAAAATATAAAATAAATAAAATAAATAAACTCCACTCCATTTGGGAGGGAGAAGAATTTAACTTAAAGTAAGGAAGGTAATTCTTCCTTTTCTTTTTAATATTAATCATAACTATATGCTTAAGTTATGGAAAAGCATCAATCATACTTAAAACAATATGAATAATATGTCATTTACTTGTGCAATTTTGTATTTCGAAGTGAAGAAGCTAAAATTTAACAAATTTTATTATTTTATATTATGAATTGTATTATGATATTATTATTTATTTATTTAATTTTAAATTTGAGTGAAAGAGAATTTAAAATTTATTTTTTAAATAAAAAATTATACATTAATCAATACATCAAATATTTGATTATTATAAAAAATTATACATTAATCAATACATCAAATATTTGATTATTATTATTTATTTATTTTAGTAAAAATGTTTATTGCAATTGTATTTTATATAATAAATATATATTTTTATATATATAAAAAAAACATGAGATTAAAATTGAACCAATCTAATGTGCACACGCTAAGCGACAACCTGGAGATTGCAACTAAAGAGCTGGACTGTATTCTCATTCAGACAAATCACAATAGGTACAAGTGCCACTGTGACGACGTCGTTCGAGCACATCCCAAAAGTACTTTTGTTTTCACATCCTAACTCATCATCCATTCCCTTTCTTACGCGTGAATAACACGCACTATTTACATATCGCCAAATATACGAAAAAACCTCACAATTGGCTTAATTACTCCGCACTTTTTTTGCGGAGCGTGAAACGCAGCGGGGAACATTCTTTTATTTGTTAGCAATTCTCGGTTTAATTCTTTTTATCTTTTAAACAAAGCTTATCATTACATTTTTTTTCTTGATTTAAATAGCGAGGGAATTCAATCATTGAAGAGAAGCGAACAGAAGGCGTTGCAATTTTGTTTCTGTTTTTCTCAGATCCTTTCAGCTCAAAATTGAAAACCCTAATTTCTTGAATTTCTCATACGAAAAAAATGGGATTATGGGAAGCTTTTCTCAATTGGCTTCGAAGGTAAGTTCTCTTCCTTGTTTGGTGACTGAGAAAAAAAAAAAAAGAACTTGAGAAAAATTGAACTTTGATTTTTTTTTTTTTCATTTTAAAAGTTGTAATCTAACTAAGGCTAATGTTCTACAAAATAGAAGAGATTCTTTATATTCGTTTTTCGCTTAATTGGTTCCTCTACCTTTCTGGGAAAGTTTTTTCTTTTTTTTTTCTCCTTTTTTTTTAATTGTAATTCAAATTAGAAAAAAGACATTTTCTTAACAATTTATCTTATCGCTGAATTTCACGTTTCGGTTTGAAAATTTTATTAATTGATAGTTAAAGGTTGGATTACGTATAAAAATGTTTAGTATCAGTGCCTTGTGGTTCTGGAGATTTTTTTTTTGTTGATGTTTTAGATGTTCTTCCCTTTTAACAGGGCTACTTTTGGATGCTTAGAACATGCAGTTTTTTTTTTCTTTTTAATATTAGAGTTAGCAAGGCGATAATTGCGGAATAAGAAATTTATGAAGTATCGTATTGATCTGCATAAGTAAAAACTTGCAATGTTGATGTTTGGGATTGGAAGAGTAGATTTGAAGTGAGTGGTGTGGTGGTAATTGCTTGCTGGGTAGTAGTTAGGTTGATTGTATAGATGATTATCTAGATACTTCTTGCACCGTTTGTTAACCATTCTTTTGAAGTGCTTGAAGTTTGAAACTTTCAAAAGATAAGGAAGTGAAGAGACTTTTCTCATGTATACTCAAGGTGCTTGGGCTTGTTTTTATGCTTGACTTGTATCTATGTGGCTTTGTGGAGGTTATATAAGCAAATTATATTTATGTGGGTTGTTGCATGAACTTCAGTTTCTTCGGTATTTCAGTTGGGAAAGGTGATAATTGCAGCTGGTGGCAATGCCAGAAGTGACAGGGGAGTGAGAGTAATAGGGTTATCTTGCTAATGAACTTGAGTTAAGGATGGCTTGTTTTAACAGGATCAGTCTCGATGGTGAGCAAAGTGTAATGGTAGCAATGGTGTTGATGAGCGAAGTGGTAATGCGTGCAGACAATGCTAAATTAGGAGAATTTGATAAGTGACAGGTTCTTGTGGTTTAGTTCTTGTGTAAGGTCTAGCTGGATTTTGCAGTATATTTTCCTCCTTGCTAATGAACTACGACAGCATTGATCAGTGCCTTTTCTTAGTCTCTGTTTTCATCTCAAGTCTTAATTACAAAGATGCCAAAGAGCAGTATTTTCCATGTATAACACAGTCAAGAAGGGATTATAAGTTTATGACCCAGTGACAAAGGGCAAGACTTTGTTGCTTTTTGTGGCTCTGGCAGGATTGTCGTTTGTGGGGTGGGGGATGTGGTTTGACCAGAATACCAAAATTTATCTTGTTTCCATTAGTCATTTTGTTCTCTTTGCATATATTTTTACATATAGTCAGGGCAAGCCTTATAAGTGTAGAAGAGCTCTTGATGTGTGTTTGTGATTGACCTTTTATGACATATTGTTCTGGTTTGAGTGCTCCTAGTTTGCACATTTTAATTTATTCTATTGGGTTACCTGCATAGTCATTGAATTTTCCTTCTCCTCCTTGTAGTCTCTTTTTCAAGCAAGAAATGGAGTTATCTCTGATAGGCCTTCAGAATGCTGGAAAAACATCCCTGGTTAATGTAATTGCGGTAAGTGAATGTTTATGTGAGACTTAAAACATTGTTTGGTTTTTTGTCTTTCTATCTCTTTTAGTTTGGTCCTGATGGCTAAACGTCTTTTTCTGTTTCTTATTTCAAGACCGGTGGATACAGCGAAGACATGATCCCAACGGTATGGCAAAGATCTGTTACCCAACAATTATTCTTGAGAACTTGTTATTTGCATTCAGTAAGTTTTTGTTGTGGTTGCTTTTTTTCCTTATAATTTCATGGCATCTTTTCTGCTTGCAGGTAGGATTTAATATGAGGAAGGTAACTAAAGGAAATGTCACAATAAAGTTATGGGATCTTGGGGGTCAACCACGTTTTCGGAGTATGTGGGAGAGATACTGCCGTGCTGTTTCAGCTATCGTGTATGTCATTTACTACTGTATTTCTCTTTATAGGATGACTCGGAATGTGTTACATTGTTTAATGTTTGTCATATGTATGTCTTTATCGTTGTTGTGAGAATACTGATTATATTTCAAAGGATGTTAGACACTATTTTGCTAGATACAAAAGCCATTTGTTTATTTCTGAAGATATTTCTCCTTCATGGAGAGCCTCTTCTACTGAAAACCAAGTGAAACACCTTCTCATTATTGACATTTTCTTCACATCCTAATTTGGCCCTCTGTATTTGATTAAGATATAGAGAACCACTGTCAGTAGATGATTTCCTCTCTCCATCTTATTACTAGTCTTGAACTAAATTCATTTTGGGCTTGATCCTTGATCCACTCTATCTGTCTTGTGATTTCTATTCTGGTTCTTTCTTGATAAAAGTAAAGTGCAATTGCTATACCCTCATGGTTTTCTTATCTGTTTATCATGCCTGATTTCCCTTTTTCTTGTCTCTCATCTTCTTTGTCCATCCTGCTGCCATCGACATTTGTAGTCATTTAAGTTCCTTTAGTGTACTAGGAAACAACCTCCCCATACCTTCTCAGTGATTTATGAGGACTTATGTTCTATCATCTAGTTAACTATGTTCAACTAAAACTATGACTAAATTGTTAGGTAAAAAGGGAAAAGTTGAAAAATTGCAGTCATGTATGTGCTTACAGGTGTAAATTTACAAACATATCTGAATAACTAATTAAGGGCAACAAGAAGTTGGGAAAGGATCTATATGAATTCTGGACCACAACTTGTGAATATCATTTGGATGTTTACTTTCCACAAATTTTACAAGCAACCCTGCCACACATTCTTTTCATTTTCTTTGATTGTTCATTACTGCTTTTTCTAAAATTCATACAGACAAATTTTAAAATAGCTCTTTGCTTTATTAGACTCGCAAATTAGTCATGCAAGACTTTTTGTATACAGTGACTTATGCTGTCTGCCAGGTAAAACATGTTCGTTTTATTGCCCTCTTAGTGTAGGTAATTTTTCACCAATATGTTGTCCTAGATCTTGATGGTCAACTAGTTCTTACTTTGGATTTCTGCAATCTACAGTTATGTTGTGGATGCTGCCGACTCTGATAACTTACCTGTGTCAAGAAGAGAACTTCATGACCTGTTAAGTAAATCCTCACTGAATGGCATTCCGCTGCTGGTACTGGGAAACAAGATTGACAAACCAGGAGCCTTGTCCAAGGAGGATTTGACAGAGCAAATGTAAGTGTAGATTTTAGAGATCTTAATATATGGATATCCTGTCAAAAGTAAATCTTTGTGCTAAAGCAACAGTATGCTGGCATAACCAATGTTCATTGGGTGTCAAAAGAATCGTCAGCAGAAACTATTTTCTGTGTAAATTTTAACACAACTCCATTTATGTTGTTGATTTATGCAAACTTGGTCATTTACCATTTCTGTTTGTGGTGCTCGACCATGCAGGGGGCTCAGGTCCATTACAGATAGAGAAGTTTGTTGCTTTATGATTTCATGCAAGAACTCAACCAACATTGATACGGTGATTGATTGGCTTGTGAAGCATTCAAAATCAAAGAATTGAAGTCTCAATGTTCCTGTACTTTCCAGCTTGTGATTATGATCAGCTATAGTTACTTGTTCGTCCAGGGTGGTCAAATATGACTTTGCTGTCTGTCTAACAGGGTCTGTCCATGTCTGACCATTGTCTTAATTTTCCAACTTGGATTTGAATCATAATTCGTAATTGCTATATATTGTTTGGGGTGGAGCAATGGGTTTTGGTGGGTGACTCCGGCATAAATTAAATTTGTTTGCAGCCTTTTATGTACAGATTTTGCATTGTAAACATGGTACATGTGTTGTGGTTTTGAATCAAATAAAGGGTTTTGATGCAATCCTATTTCCACTGTTTGATAGCCACACATTGTTCTAAACCAAAAAAAAAAGCATAATCTTTTAATTAAGCAAACTATACTCCGATAACAATGTCAGGAGCAAGAAACATACGAAGTTATAACTTACAACATGCGTTTTGTCCAAATAAGAGGTTAAAAATATTTAAAAAATGAAAGAATTTAGACATAATATGAAGTTACAACATGTTTTTTATTATGATTGATTAAATTTTTATTTTTTTATTTTAAATTAAATAAAATTTTATAATTAATAATTAATTAATTAGTATCAATCAAAATTTAATTTATTATTTTATATAACATCATATGTTTATATATCATAATCAATGAAAGTGTAATAAATTAATATAATATATTAATATAATTATGAGATATTTTTTACTTTATATTAATTTCATGAAAATATAAAATAATAAATTATATTTTAATTAATTATAATTAATTATAAATATATATTTAATATAAAATAAAAATCTATAAATTTAATTAAATGTAATAAAAATAAAAAGTTATTTAATTTTTTTAATAATTTAAAAACTTTTTAAAATATTGTATCAAAAAATTAATTTCAAATATATATTTCTATAATCTTTTAAAAATGAGAAATATACTATAAAACTAAAGAAAAATAAAACCTTTATCTTATTTTTATTTTAAAACTAATATACTTACTTAAGTTTGACTGCCAAAAGGAATCTTTGTTAATATATTATTGACCCTAAAGCCCATACAGAAACAGATATTCCCTTTGGAGACTCCATTTGACCCTAGTCTTCTCTCAGTCTTCGCAAAGCCCTTTCCTTTGTCCGCCTGTTTCCGCTTTTCGTCTATGGAAATTAACCGGAAAAAAAAAAAGAACTAAAAAACAGAGGTTTATCACGATTCTATAAATTCTCTTTCTTTTTATTTTCCTTTCTGTCCCTCTATTTTCCAGTTATCCGAACGGACCGCCAACTCTCAGAAACTAAAAAAAGAATCGCATATAAGCTGCTGCTATGGAGCTTGACGAGTTCTCGAGCTATGAGCTGTATACAGTATAGTAATAAGTGGTGATTGTCGCTTGGCGGTAAGTAAAAGTTTCTCGACTGATGATTTCTCAATTTTTAAGTTTTATGTATTTTTAGAGTTTTAGAAAAACTCTCAGATTTTTTTGAACCTGCTTGAGCCTAGGGTTAAGTTAACCCCTTATAATAAATATAGAAAAGGAGATTTTTTACTCCATTTTTATACGAGGTTATTTTTCCTGCCGATGGTGAGATTACATGATTAGGTTAACAAGTCGAAAGGACCCAAAAATAGCAGACGCAGCTTAATTTTGTATTTAATTTTAGCACTCATTTGTGAGGAATCTTGTTAGAAAACATATTTATGAGAGGTTGATTAAGTTCTTCATTATTATACTCGTAATTAAAGTTTTCTTGGGGCTGGATTCTCATGATCAATTATTATTTCAGTTTGTAAAATTTGGAAAGAAGAAAGAAGGGGTCGGGGGCATTCCGAGAATCAAACTCCGGACCTCTGACACACAAAGCGAGAGTCATACCACTAGACCAGATGCCCAATCTTTGATGTTTACCATGATTTGGTTTGAGTTATTAGCTCTTTTCTTTGCTAAATTTTGATGACTAGCTGCTAGATTGTTAGCAAGTTTTCTGCTGTTAGAATATTACCTTAGTACTTAAAAGAATGGTCTAAATATGAGCTTATGGGACGATTAGGCATGTTGTGTCTCAATGATCTTTTGTTTGTGGATCTCTGCAAGCTGAATGCCACAGTCTTCTATCGAAGTAATAGGTAGAGCAGCTATTTGGTATTTGGTAATTCTACTAATGATCCAGAAATGAATCCCAACTTGACCAGGGTTTGTGCCTTTGTGGTGCTACACCACTCCATAAAGAGCAGTCATTGCATGATAAAAGAAGAAGAAAAAGAAGCAGTCATTGCATGCTAAAAAGAAGAAGAAAACGAGCTTTTGTGTAACTGGATATTTAGCGTTCTCATTCATTACCTTTCTTGCCGTAAATACTTTGTTTATTAAAACTTTAAGTATATGTTCATTACATGCTTATGTGATACTGTCTAAGGCAGATTTCTTCTACCCCCTAAAGACTTGGAGATCACAAGTATGAAGAATAGCTTGCCCACATTTAAAAATATTACGTATAGATTAATTGCTTATTTTATTTATTTTTTCAACTCGTTTTTTGAAATATTCTCAGAAAACAATAAATACTTTGAAAGATGACTTAAGGCCTGATTCCTGTTGCCTAATATTTCAAATGGTAATATGAGATAACAAAAAACAAGGTGCTGGGGCATTCTGAGAATTAAACTCAGGACGTCTCCCACCCTAAGCGAGAATCATACCAGTAGACCAAATGCCCAATTTTTTTGTTTATAATGTTTTGTTATTATTCTAACATCTATAGGTGATAAATTTTCAAAAAAATGGTGCATACTTCTTTTTATTTATTGATGAAGTCTCTGAGAACTTGATTGTTTTTGAGCTTTTTTGCTGTTGGAATACACAATAAAGTTTTTCAAAATTGTTCAAAGATGAGCGTATAGGGCAATCAACAGTTATGCTGGAATTGCTCACAACATGACATGTCGTGATAAAATTTTCTCTGCAAGGCTCTGAAGTATGAATACTAAAGTCAAAAAAAAAAGTATGAATACTAAAGTCTTTATTTGCTCAAAGGATGCTAAATACTTTAGCTTTAGAGTCATTCTGTAGCTTCAGATCCTGTTTAGACCTTTGGTTGAAGGCATATTGGTGCTAAATAAGCATATGTCTCAGTCAGAGGAAGAAAAAGGCACATTTCTATTCTGTTGGCCTTTTTTTTTTTGCTAAATAGGTTGTTGTGGGTTTTACTGAATGTACTTAGAAGGCTAGGAACTTTGCTTTTTGTTTTGTTTTGGGTCATAAAGTCTTTCACCCGTGATCCTGAGGACTTTCATGTTTCTCTGCAAGTCCTACTGGGACCTTGCTTTTTGTTATTCTCCTTTGTGAGAAACTATGGGCAATAATATTCCTGCCTTTCCAAAA